CTCCAGCACAGACAGGGAAGCTACTCCTGTGATACTCAACAATATGGCTTTCTAAACAGAACCTGAACAATGACCACACCAATAGACACACTAATATGGAAGGGGAATCTCTAGTGGGTCCCACTGTAGACAAGCGATTGAAGCAAATGATTGCTTAGAGTAGAGAGGGAGAATTAGGGGTTTCCAGAGGTGTGCTCTGTAAGACCCTCAAGCTACGGGAGAGGCCAGGCCCCTCCCTCTAGGACCTCCAACTGCCAGGTTCCACTCAAAGAACATTCTAGCTGCCCTAACTGCTGGACCCCCTCCCCACCCTACAGAGTAAAAACCCTGTCTCTGGACATGAAATTCCACCAATTTCCACCCTGAAAAGCTTCATGCTGAAAAGTTCCACCCCTTTCTCAATAAACGCTATATAAGCCCTGCCTTCTGTTCCATTCTCTGCTGTTTCTTGCCCCAGCAAAGGCAGCCGCCTTTTTGTTTTTCTCCTCCCGATAAATTTCCTGAGTGAGGTTTGTTGTGCTGTATGACTTTGTGGTATTCTTTGGCTCCTGACTGCCACAATACCTCTCTATCCAAGCTGTAATACTTACAAGTCCCCCAGTTGGCTTTCCAATTACAGGTGGTTAGCTCTGAAATAATATACATACAAGTGACACTAAATGACTCAGCAGATTATACACAAATATTTTTTTGTTATTATTTCATATTCATATACATGCACACACATATCTATATCTACATAGATATATAAAACAAAAAGAGGTTATAAATTTGAGGAGGATTTGGGCTGAGTACATGGAAGGGTTTCAAGGAATGGAAGGTGAGAAAGATGTAATTATATTTAAAACTTTTAAGAGTATAAATATAAATTTTAAAAAGAAGTCCTCAGATCTTTTCTTCAAAAAGAAAATATCCAAGTAAAATAATTTATATACAATTTCATTTTTAAACTTATTTTATTTAGGGCCATACTATAAGTAATTCAGAATTAAAATGTTTTTTAATTGCTTACATCTTTACATCTTGGATTTTTATTGGAATAAAAAAATATCAATATGAAATCATGATGAAAATCAATATGAAAATATGAATCAGGAAATGGATGAAAGTAGTAGTATATTGTTAAGCATAAAGCATACTATATATAGAAAGACAACTTTTTCTATACTTCAGTGCTTAAAAACTCCATTATGTTTGAGTAGCAGAGACACAGGTTTCTGAGTGATACAAATCTCTCAGAAAATGAAATTTTTCCAGGTTTTAATATTTGGGTAGGGTCTCTATGTAGCCTAGGCTGGCCTCAGAGCATAGAACTCACGCAGGCCACAAACACATTATCCTCTTGCCTCAGCCTCTTAAGTGCTTAGGTTGCAGGCCTGCACCACCATGCTTATTTTCAGAGTTCCCTTTATACCCATCTTCCATCACTAAGTCTGTGTTTCCTTGGACTATGATGAAATTCTCTTAGCTTGGATGCCAAAGCATGGAGTAAGAATGCTTAGGTTTGGTATGCACATAATCAGCCCACTTGCTTCTTGGGTCCACACTGCCAAGAAGTGTCTCATTTCTGTCTGCAGGGGCCTTCACATGCCAGGACTTCTTTTCTTCCTCCAGTTCAATTAGTGTTATCTACATGTACATGGGTGCTGGGCTGACCTCTTGGGTGTGGGCGACCTATCAGAGCTATCCTAGAAGAAAACTGACCTTCCCTGTCAGCAGCTGTCAACTGCCTATAGCCCTTCAACTAGGGGTGGGACCTTGAGCCCAGGGATTGGTGGGTTTTCACGCTCAGGAGTTGGTGGGTTTTCACACTCAGGGATTGATGGGTTTTCACGCTCAGGGACTGGTGGATTTTCACGCTCAGGGATTGGAGGGAGGGTTTTCATGTTCAGGGATTGGTGGGTTTTCACGCTCAGGGATTGGTGGGTTTTCATGCTCAGGGACTGGTGGGTTTTCACGCTCAGGGTTTGGGCTTGAACCTTTTACCCAACAGTAAAGCATATGTCCGTCTCCATAGTGTTGTTATACTTTAACATTCCTTTTACGCCATGCAGCGCTCTCTAAGCTGTCTGGAGTTGGTAGGTTTTGTTGACTCATGATGACAGGACATTCTGTGCCATTTATGACTGGAGCTAGCAGTAGCTAAGGGTAGTGAGGGTGAGTGCAGTTTGGGATACAGGGCACAGGTGATTGGACTTTGAATAGCTACCCTGTGGCCTCTACTTTTATTTACCTCTAACACTTTGCCTCCAGATAAGGGCTGGGCCTGGCCAAGACCATGGTTCTAATCTTTTTACATATGCAGACTGTGGAACACAGCCAAATCTGGCAGACTTCTGACCTATAGAATTTTAAGGTAATAAATGGGTGTTTTCAATCACAATCACCATGTATGTGATACTTTGTTATACAGTATTATAAAAGTAATACTAAGGGATTACATAAACAATTACCAATTAACTCACATCATGAGCAGTAATAAATGGGGGTTGTGTTAAGCCAATAAGTTTCAGACCAATTTATTATGCAGTTGAAGCTGAATGTTGCATATTGTAAGAGAGGTAGAGAGCCATTCTTTTTTCTTTTACATCCCAGTTAGAGTTTTCCTTCCCTCCTCTCTTCCCAGCCTCCCCCACCCCCCTGCAAACCCGTTCCTGTACCCCAATCCACTCCTCCATTTCTGTTCAGGAAAGGGCAGGTCTCCCACAAAATATGCCATATTAAGCTACAGTAAGACAACCCAGTATGAGGAGTAGGGTCCCAAAAGCCAGTAAAAGAGTTGGGGACAGTCTCTGCTTCCACTGTTTGGAGTCCCACAAGAGGACCAAGCTACACAACTGTCACATATGTGCAGAGTGTCTAGGTCAGTCCCAGGCAGGCTCCCTGGTTGTCAGTTCAGTCTCTGTGAGCCCCTATGAGCCCACAATAGCTGATTCTGTGGGTTTTCTTGTGGTGTCGTTGGCCCCACTGGCTCCTCCAATCCTTTCTCCCTCTCTTCTGCAGAATTCCCAGAACTCCACCTAATGTTTGGCTGTGGGTCGGTATCTGCTTCCATCAGCTGCTGGATGAAGCCTCTCTGATGACAGCAGACTGTAGACTGGAGGGTATCCGACTAGAGGTTGGATTCCCACTCTCTGCACTTGAAGTCTTGCCTGGTCACAGGAGAAGACCGGTTCATGCTACATATTTGCTGTTGTCAGGAGTCTGAGCTGGGGTCATCCTCGTAGATTCAGGAGAGATTCCTTATGCCAGGTTCCTACCTGACCCCGAAATGCCTCCTCTGCAGTAGTCTCTTTCGGTACTCCCCCCACCCACCCACCCTGAACCCAACCTGAACCCAACCTGATCTATACAGAGAGAGCCATTCTTAAGCGGAAGGCTTCATCATACTTTCATAGAAAGTAAAAAAGGCTGGGAGGGCATGGGACCAGAGTTTGAGCCCACCACCACTTTCCACTATACCATTAGTTCAGTACTTTTTTATCAGTACTGTGGTAAAAGCACTAATGTAAACTATGTAATTTTTAAGTAGATATTACTAAGACTCAGTGGAGTCTATGCTATATTTTCATTTTTGAGGTAGGTAATTTCAATCACATTCACCAATTCCACCCTCAATTTTCTCATCTATTCAATGGGTCTGTTCACACAATTTACAAAAACATGTGACTATATAAACTGTGGACTCTTAGGAAAGTATCAGAAATTATGAGCAGCAGTCTAGTATTTAATGTCCACATATTTACCAACGAAGCTCACTGGCAATGATTGTATCAAACTATGCGATATGTACATATCCTTTGTATCCACTTATATGTCAACATTTGCTCGGAGGCAGAACTCACATGGGCCAGCCAACCTCCCCGCTTGGCCAAGACACACCAATTATCCACTATGAAAGCATGAATACAATAATTTATGGGCTAACGGTATGCTCTAGTCCTGGAACTGGGGAGGGGGAGCTGATAATTTTAGGCCTAATATGTTTTAGGTACAGCCTGCTGCCTGTATCAGTGGAGTATAAGGGACTGGACTGTATTGGACTAGGTCATTGCAAAGGTCTGTATAGGTCCGTATATCCACCGTGTGTGCATGTGCCTAAGAATGTAGGCACGCTCATTACCACAGCCTCACTAATTCTTGCAGAAACCCATCCTGAAAGGTTTTATGCTTAAGATGGCCACTCAGATGTTAACTCTCTGAAGGTTTTTTTATTTTTTTTTTCTCAGCACACCAAATGACACATTTGCCAAACAGAGACTCTCAGCAAACCGAAGGAGCTACTAGAGCCACAAGAAAAGAAAGTGCCCTACGGAATAATCCAATCCTCTGTGCTTTAGCCCTTCCCGTTGTCGCCACCACTCGAGTGTTGTCACATAATCACAGGACACCTTCCGTCTGTACCAACGATTATCTAGGCTGCCCCAAAGTTTCCGTTTCCTCCTTGTCAAACCTGATGGGATGACGGGCAGGGAAATCCTAGTAAGACTCTGGTTTGCTTAGACCCAATCTGAGTTGAACTTTGTGGCGTGGAAGGATCTGATCATCAGAATTTTCCGTTTTGAAAGCATAAGCAGGGAAAGACAGACCTCTTACTTTTGAAAGGTGTAGCAACTACACACAGCAAGTCAGTTCTTTGGTTACCCACTATCCCTAATAAAGTGGTGTGCTGCATAGCAAACATGTAAAAAGCAGAAAGCCTATTTAACTTTGGGGTTGTTCCTGCCCTTGCAGAAAAAAATAATAATAAGTCGGAGGATGGCATTTCTGTCCTTCAGACCTGCTTCTATACCTGGAACTCTTGTCCAATCACCGCCAACAGCACTGAACTCTTCGTCCTTGCACTATGACCTGTTCCTACACTAAGCTCTGCCCCTCAACTAAAGAGCTAGTTTCTTTTTATAGACTTTTGGCTCAGGTGTCCATCTGGGAGACTCCGCCCCTCTCGACCCCGTGACCTGTCCCCCCCCCCCCCCCCCAGGCTGCCGGACTTTAGCGGCGTGGGCGGGCCCTGGGCGGTCGCTTCTAGGAGGAGAGCTCAACGGACCCTGCACCCTCGCCTGCAGCAGCCACGACAGCAGCCGCCGCAGTCGCTGTCCTCCCGCAGCCAACCGCCACCATGGTGAAGATCGTGACGGTGAAGACGCAGGCGTACCCGGACCAGAAGCCCGGTACGAGCGGGTTGCGGAAGCGGGTGAAAGTGTTCCAGAGCAACGCCAACTATGCCGAGAATTTCATCCAGAGCATCATCTCCACCGTGGAGCCAGCGCTGAGGCAGGAGGCCACACTGGTGGTGGGCGGGGACGGCCGCTTCTACATGACCGAGGCCATCCAGCTGATCGTCCGCATCGCCGCCGCCAACGGGGTAAGAGACGTGCAGGCCGGGCCGAGCGTGCACGACGTGCGGGCTCCTCCGGGCCCACGCTTCCGTGCGCGCCTCTATCCAGTCCCCGCCTCGCCCCGCCCCGCGCACGCTCCCTTGACCTTGGATGTACCCTCCCCACTCTAGTGCCTCCCCCACCCTCACTCCCACCCCAGTTTCGCCGTGGCTCTGTTGGGAAAGGTGAACCCGCCTAGGCGCCTTACTATTCTGGTCTGGGACTGGGGCGCCTCCCGCTGGCTCCCGGCCTAGAGCTGGAAGGGCTGGCCACCGGAGCGCTCACCCCCCTGGGGTGTCAGGCCAGTGATCTGGGTGGGCAGGTGCCCGAGCTCCCCCCCCTCTCCCCAAGTTGGCTTGGGGAAGGTCCCTGCTCGGCCTACTGCCTGGGAGCAGGCTTTTGAAAAGTCCAGTTTCTGTTGGGTAATTCACTGGACCTGTTCCACTAAGGGGGCTGGAGCTGAATTTTCATTAAAACAGAGACAATATACCCAAGGGCGCTCTTAGGCAAGCTGTCCTGTCGGGCCAGGAAATTAATGCAATGCAACGCCCCTGGTTCCGCCCACCCCCACCCCCTGTTAAGGGAGGTTAACTGTCTTAATTGGGGAAGTCCACTAGAGAGGTGAAGCTTAAATATTTCTTTTCTATAAATCTGATGAATAAAAATGTGGGTTTGCAAAGTTGGAATTGTTTGTTGCCACAAGGTAATTTCCAAGGCGTTTTAAGGAACATGTTTTCTTTGTATATTTAAAATAATATTGGACTTGCAATCAGCTAAAGGGTTCATTCCCTTTAGCAGTTACATTTACTTATTTTAGCAGTACTTTGTTTTACTTTATTAACGTGTTTTAAACAGTCTTGCCTCTTGCCAAGCACCACGCCAACACCGCACTGGTGTCTCAAGTATATTCTTGAAGCCCTGTAAGGAAGATGCTATTATGGGTGCTTTCAAGTCACCAATGAGAGTTCTGAAGCCTGGGCAGCTTAAAGAATTTACCAGAATTTAGCCACGCGATGGTGGCACACACCTTTAATCCAGGCAGAGGCAGGTGGATCTCTGTGAGTTCAAGGCCAGCCTGGTTTGCAAGAGCTAGTTCCAGGACAGGCTCTAAAGTTACACAGAGAAACCCTGTCTTGGAAAAACAAAACAAAACAAAACAAAAACAATTTACCAGAACTTAGCCGTAGCATTGAATCTGGCGCAGACCTGCCAGTCCCAAGAACTTGAGCGGCGTCTGAGAATTAAGGGATTCTTAAATTTTAGGACCTCCTTTTCCCAGTTGTCAAAGTCTAAACTGAGCTCTGTAGACTTTCCTGGATGGGGCAGACATTTGCAAACACAGTGAAAGAAGCCAGGGTTTCTTTTTCTCTGCCCCTCAGACCACTGCAGCTTTCCATGAGGGGAGAGAGAGCACTCAGTAGCTATGTGTGGAAGCTCCTTCATCTCACCTGTGCTCCTAGAGGATTCATCCAGCGGTTCCCTGGCCTGTGCCCTGTACAGAGAACGGCTTGGGGGGAATCGGGGTGCGCAGACGTGGGTCTTGTCCTTACGTTTAGGTAGAGTGGGAGTTTTAGGGTTCAAATGGATATCTGTCCCTTCGGGAGCCCTGTGGGGTGGAAAGGAAATCAGTTATTAGACGTCTTCACACGTTAGCCACTGACTGGCCTGTTGCTCTTCTCTCTTTGGCCAGATTCTGAGTTCTGTCATCACTGAGTCTCACTGTCCGCTCCGCACCTTACTTCCTGATAACTTGTGCTGCTTCCGCCTCTCCCCTGACTCGCTCCCTCAGAGCCTCTGGTGACTCTGGTAGCTCCTTCCCTGCAGCAGCTGTAGGCCTTCACCTTTCACCTGCATTTGTCAACAGTCTCACGCCTGGTCTGGGTCTGATCACTTTGCCGATTCTACTCAGGAAATTTGTCCCCGCTTGCCTGCTGTACTTACACCCTAGTGGTTCCCTAGGTTCCCTGGTTTGCTGCTCTGATTTAATTAAATACTTTACTCACCAGGGGTTTACGTGTGTTTGTTCCTCTTCTGGTGTGATTTAGTTAAGATCGTATCTTCAGAAAGCAACTGCTCCTTTCCCATAGATACTGCTAGAATAGATTGATCCAATTCTGGTGAGATTATGTCTGCGTGTCATTTGTTCCCACTGGTGAGTAAGCTTGAGACGGGATTCTATTTTACCTATAAGCCTTCCCTTGGTGTAGTCAGGAGTATTGGTCTAGGACCCCTTCACTAACCAAGTTCTAGAAAAGATTATGTCTTTAGGAAATAAATTGTTATGGTCCATTTTCAGTATGAGGTGCAGTTAGAGCGCATCAGAGAGTCACGGAGAAGCAGAGGGCACCAGGCCCCTCTCTGCTAGCTGGCAGCTGGCAGCTGTGTGCGTGAGAACTCTTGAGAACTGGAAAGTTGCAGACAGTCTGCTACTTGACTGAGCCCATGATCAGAAAGGGTCTCAAGCCCCAGAATATTCCCAAGGTAAGGCCTTGCATTCTGAACCAGTAGGATAGGAGATTTGGGAAGGCAGCTATGCTAGAAGAATATGAAGGTTGTACCCCTGGGAGAAAGAGGGCAAGACTATCTCATGATTGGGACCTTAACAACCCCTGATTTGCACCAAACAGCACACTAGCCATTTTTGCCTTTTCCTGATGCTTGCATCTCTGCCTGCAGAATGGTGTATTAAAAACTGCTTCACCATCCCTAGTGTCTTAAGTTTGTTATTGTATAGTGGGGCTCTTGTTTCTCACAATGTTCCTCTATAAGATGGCATTTGCTTATAATCCATGCGTTTACCTAAATCATCTCTATATCATAAAACCAAATATAGCATAGATATCATGCTGTTTGAGAATATGATGTAGGTATTTTTATTTGTTTTACATTACTTTTTAATGTTGATTTGTGTGTGTGTGTGTGTGTGTGTGTGTGTGTGTGTGTGTGTCACAGCAAGCATGTGGAGGTGGGAACAACTGGGATTTGGTTCTCTCCATTGTGGGTCTCAGGACTTGCACTTAGGTACCCATGCTTAGTAGCAAGTACTCTTTTCTACTGTTTTTATTGAGCTCTATGTTTTTTTTCCACTCCCCTCCATTCCTCTCCCCATCCCTTCTACCCTCTTCCATAGTCCCCATGCTCCCAATTTACTCAGGAGATCTTGTGGTTTTCTATTTCCCATATACATTAGATCCATGTATGTCTCTCTTAGGGTTCTCATTGTTGTCTGGGTTCTCTGGGATTGTGAGTTGTGGGCTGTTTTGTCTTTGCTTTGTGTCTAAAAGTCACTTATGAGTGAGTACATTTGATACTTGTCTTGCTGAGTGTGAGTTATCTCATTCATTATGATGTTTTCTAGATCTATCCACTTGCCCGCAAATTTCAAGATGTCATAATTTTTTTTTCTGCTGTGTAGTACTCCCCTGTGTAAATGTACCACATTTTCCTTATCCATTCTTTGGTCGAGGAGCATTTAGGTTGTTTCCAGGTTCTGGCTATGACAAACAATGGTGCTCTGAACATAGTTGAGCACATGTCCTTGTTGTACGATTGAGCATCCTTTGGGTACATACCCAAAAGTGGTATTGCTGGGTCTTGAGGAAGGTTGTTTCCTAATTTCTGAGAAATCGCCATACTGATATCCAAAGGGGCTGTACCAGCTTGCACTCCCACCAGTAATGCAGGAGTGTTCCCTTTTCCCCACATCCTCTCCAGCATAAGTTGTCATCAGTGTTTTTGATCTTGGCCATTCTTACAGATGTAAGATGGAATCTCAGAGTTGTTTTGATTACAACAAGTACTCTTACCCACTAAGGTATCTCACTGGCCTCTGTATTATGTTTTATTACCCCCTTTCATTATTTTTGCTCTTTCTGAATAGTATGAGTCCTTGATTGATTGATTGATAGAACTTATGGGTGTGGATCTGGTGACTAGAAAAATCAGATTGTACCTACAGTACCTGGGCCAAAGGTAGTATCTGGTGACTTCTTGTCTGGCTGCCTTGAATTATGAATCACCAATGTAGACAACACTGCAGACACAGTATCACATACAAAGCAGAAGCCTGAAAATAAATTTATTGTCTGCGGTTGAAGCAGGCTGGGTTAAGAACCTTTACATTGAGCAGTGAGTCCTTTTAGTGACTGGTACAACCTCTACCAAAATGTGCCTGAAATACATGGACCAGCGTGAAGGCTCTTACAGTCATAGATCATGTCAGCCAGGCTTTGAGAGCTCTCATGCCTCCCATTTGAGACAAATACCTCTGAGTTGGCCTGAGTGTATGCGGGTGTGTGCATGTGCATGTACAGGTGTGCCTGTATGTACTGTGTGCACGTGTGCAGGCTCCCCTGCATGTATGTACTGTGTGCACGTGTGCAGGCTCCCCTGCATGTATGTACTGTGTGCACATGTGTAGGCTCCCCTGCATGTATGTACTGTGTGCACGTGTGCAGGCTCCCCTGCATGTATGTACTGTGTGCACATGTGCAGGCTCCCCTGCATGTATGTACTGTGTGCACGTGTGCAGGCTCCCCTGCATGTATGTACTGTGTGCACGTGTGCAGGCTCCCCTGCATGTATGTACTGTGTGCACATGTGCAGGCTCCCCTGCATGTATGTACTGTGTGCACGTGTGCAGGCTCCCCTGCATGTATGTACTGTGTGCACGTGTGCAGGCTCCCCTGCATGTATGTACTGTGTGCACATGTGTAGGCTCCCCTGCATGTATGTACTGTGTGCACGTGTGCAGGCTCCCCTGCATGTATGTGCACATGAGCATGGGAACCAGAATGTTGTTCTTCATGCACCAGCTCCTTTTTTCCTTCTTAAGGTAGGGGTCTCTCGCTGGCCTGGAACTCTCCAAGTAAGCTAGGCTGGCTGGCCTGCAAGCCCCAGGAAGCTGTGTTCTGTCCTTGCTGCAGGACTGACTTAGCGGGGAACCCTCTTTGAGGCACTTTTTAATATACCACCTGTTTAAAAAGTT